CAGCATTTCCCTGGGCGATCTGCCGAATGAGAGAAGTTACATGTTTTCCCATACTTACACCCGGCATCTGTGACCCACCCTCGACATGGAAGCTTGGATTTGGCTTCGGGCTTCGGCTTCTCGGGAGTTCCCTGGGCCTCGGAACCCTTCTCAGACGACTTGTTTCCACCCTTTCCTTTATCCACTGCTGCTACACGAGGACGCTTCGCTGATGTATCCGGCATTGCAACCGCTAACAGCTCAAACTCAGCTAGGAGAGTAGTTACGTACTCTTCCACGCGCTCATGAGTCGGAACTGTATCCAACTGCAGCTGCATGCGAACACTGTGCATCCGGAAGGACAGTGCAGGATGAGACTGCAACAAGGTATGCACGCTCTTGTCCACGCCTTGCAGTAGCAAAGAGCTATCCGGAACTGAGATCGACATGGTATTAGCACGCTCCAGATGCCTGAACCATTTCTGAAGCCCTCCAACTGCCGACACAGCAGTATCGAACACCTGCAGTGATGTCAGGCCACGCAGCAACTCAGCCCTCTCGTTTAGACCACCTGGTTGATAGATTCTAAGCGTGAGAAACAACAGTCCTACACACGAGACGTTGCGACTGGAAAGGGCTTGTTCATATACAACATTAGGGAGGGCTTTAGAGAGCATAGCAACCCCCCTCGACTCAATCCTGGTGAACATGTCTCCCTGAAGAGTGCTACTTGGCTTCCCGACAATCTTGGCACGATCCAACGGTTTGGCACTCGACCACTGCTGATAGGCATCCTGGGATTCCTTCAAAACCCTCGCCCACCAAATGTTTGCCCTCGGCGCTAGATCACTCATGAGAGGACCGATCTTATATATCCAGTCGTTGCATCGCATGGCTGGGTTCACCTCAGAACTTGGCGCAGCTAAAACCGGCAACTCCCAATACGTACGATCCCCCGGTACAAAGTCTTTCAGCCCTGAACTAAATTCCAAAAACCCATCACCCTGACCACTGCCCTGAGCAGCCTGAGTTTCGCCCACTACAGGTGTCCTGGGAGGCGGCCCTGGCGGCAGTCGCGTTCCCCCCGGCGTGGCCGGTGACGCATTAGGATGAGACCCTGACTGAGGCACAATCCTGGAAGGACTCGGCTGAGGTGACCGACTAAACTTCCTTGAGTATCCCTGCCTTACACCAGTCGGAGACCTCTCCGCATTCCTTACGGTCCTACTCGGCCTATCTACAGGAACAGGGGGATGTGGTGGCGGTGGTGGAGGACTACCATCGGCAGTACGAAATGGAGACGCTGCTTGTGGGCTCCACGGGCCCTGAGGTTTTCGCGGCCTCCCTACATTGCACGGAGGCGAAAGCGCAGGTGGCACAAATGTACCTTCAGGCTCTACAGGAGGAGGGGCAACCACGTCACTACTCTCAAGAGCATAGTACTTAGGTGCTTCTGGAGTCAAGATCACCTGACCCTGATGATCATAAACCCCTTCCCTCAACACTCCGTTTATCCAAACCTGTACCTTCCTACCTGCTAACCCACTCCCATCTACATTTCCATCCTGCCGCTGGCGCGATTGGGTCCGCTGCACAGCTGACTGCATCACAGGCTGGACCCTTGGATCCTGATCAGTTCCTTCGGGACTAGGATACATTTGCCTATCTTGCTGGCGCGAGTGAGTCCGCTGCACAGCTGACTGCGTAGCAGGCTGGACCCCAACACTATCCTCAACCTCCATAGGCCTCGACCCCTGAAGATCTAGATCAACCTGAAACCAGGAAGGGTGCACAGCAGACAACTCACCTGGACCTTCTTCCAAGGATAGATTCTGGATGGCACGGGTTGCCTGAAGAAACTTATCCCCTGGCCCAACGCTTGGCATTGCAGTAGGCATAACATCATCTCGGGACTGTTGAACGGAAGCTCGAAGAACGTTATCCCCTGGCCCGGCACTTGGCATTGCGGCTGGCATAGCTTCATCTCGGGATTGCTGGAAGGACGTCCACGGCGGACTGAAGACTCTGGAGCGGCCGGCATTCAGGTCTATACCACCCTGATTACCTATACCTTTCCCAAGCTTAGCCTTACGACCAAGAGCTCCAAACCCTCTTCCCTCAGCTACCTGGGCCAAACTGGGATTCCAGGTTGGCTCAGTGTTCCTTGCTACGCCTGCACTACTCTCGCGACCAGGAACTACATCTTCTACTCGGCTACCCGCTTTCCCGATCGCAGTAGCTCCCTTAGGAACCTCTCTACCGCTCTGGCCCGACTCAGCTGAGCTCCTCGAAGCCACATCTCCGATCTCACGCCTCAGCAGCTCATTCTGATCCATAAGTTGGTGTACCAGCCGTTCCAGGAGTTCCACTCTCCCTTGCGAATCAGACTGCTGTCCCAGCTGGCCTTGAAACAAAGCTTGCAACGGAAGAACTCCGCCCCTTTCAGGTTCACGGCCTTGTCCCCCTGAAGCATGACCCACATCAGGCACCACACCATTGATCAAGACCTCTCCAGAATTCACACCAGGCTGTAGACCCATTTCAGGATTCTGAAATTGTCGTTGATCCCGACCAGCGGTCTGGACCCCGGGAGACTGCTCCTCTCGACCATCCCCTTCTGGAGACGCTACTCCCTCGACAGACTCGAACTCATACTCAGGCTCAAGCCCTTCAACACCGGTCAGCACATCACGCGCTTGCTGCTCAGGCGTCCTCTGTCCAGCACCAGTGTTACCACCATCATCGATGATTCTGGAAGCCTCCTGGAAAAAACTCCTCTCTCCAAGGGATTCCGGTCCGCCTGAGCCCTCCAGGTTGTTCGGATTCAAGAGGGTATCAGGTCTTACATGCCCCTGCTGGTACTGCGGCTCATCAGCAGACCCAGCGGATTCCATGGCGGAGGCGCAGTGTTACGAACCACTTGGGCTCATAACCTGCCCGTTGGGCAGGCAAGAACTCAATGCCCGACCCGACTGCGTTTTCCCGGCAGCGCAAACTCTCACGAAACGAACTGTCAGATGCTACCTGATCTGTGAAAAGAATCTGTTCAACTCTAAGCTATTCTGAGAGAAATGAGTCTGGAGCCCTAGCAACTGGACCAAACCGGACCTGAATGCCCTGACTCCATGCCTTTGAGCAGCATGCTCTGCACACGAACTGCATGCCTGCACATCCACAGTCACTATTTATCCTGCTCTTGAGGGTTTAGGGTTTAGGGTTTAGGGTTTAGGGTTTAGGGTTTAGGGTTTAGGGTTTAGGGTTCGACAGCGTAGCGGTCGCCCTAGTCAAGTTGTCAATTATCTTAGTAGGGCGTTGCTCAAGCCACGGTCCTTTTGAGATTCCTTTCTGTTTGGGATTCCTTTCTTTTCGTGTGCGCCAGGACCCATTCAAAGTTTTCCGAAATTGGGTTTCTTCGTCTTTCCTACCGTCGCCGTCTAGATTCAAGGTCCGCAACCGTAGGCCCTAAACCCTACCCAAACCCTAGGCCTTAAACCCTATAGGGCCAAACCCTAACCCTAGCCCTAAACCCTAGGCCCCGGCCCTAAATTCTAGGGCCCAAACCCTAAACCCCAGGCGCGCCGCCCTGCCCACGCCCACACCCCGCTCCACGCCCGCCCCCGCGCCCCCCGCACCTGCCCCGCACCCGCCCCAGCGCAGGCCCCACGCCCGCCCGCGCCCGGCACCCCGACACCTTTCGGGCTTTCGTGGAGGGGATTTCGGGTTTTCGTAAGAGGATTTCGTGCCTTAGTAGGGTGCTTCCTAAAACCATAATCCCTTCGAGATTCCTTTCTGTTGGGGATTCCTTTCTTTTCGTGTGCGCCAGGACCCAACCAAGGTTTTCCGAAATTTGCCGTCTCCCGCCCTGCCCTTGCCTTGCCTGCGCCCGCGCCGGCCTGCCCTCGCCCGCGCCCACGCCCGCGCCCGCGCCCGCCCGTGCGGCCCTGCGACCGGCGCCCACACCCCGCACCCGCGCCCCGCGCCCGTGCCCGCGCCCGCCCTCCCCCGCGGCCGCGTGCGCCCCCACCCACGCCCGCGCCCGCGCCCGCCTGCGCCCGCCCGCGCCCCGCGCCCGCGCCCGCGCTCGCGCCCCGGCGCCGCGCCCGCCGCCGCGACCACAACGCGCCGCGCCCGCGCCGGCGCTCTCGCCCGAAACCCTCAACCCAAGGCCCCAAACCCTCAACCCTACAACCCCTAAACCCTAAACCCTAGCACCCTAAACCCTAAACCCTCGGCCCCGAAACCCTAACCCGCCAAACCCTAAGCCTTTTAACCTTTAAAGTTTTCCAAATTTGTTTTTTTTCGCCTTTTCTGAACGCCCTCCAAGCCCCCAAACCTTCAACCCTAAACTCTTGGAGACTCCTTTCTCTTCGTGTGGGCCAGGACCCAAACAAGGTTTTTCCCAATTGGACTTTTTCGCCTTTCCTGACGCCCCTCCAAGCCTCGAACCTTAAACCCAAAAACATTCCTTTCTTTTCCTGTGCGCCAGAAACCAATCAAGGTTTCTCCAAATTGGATTTTTCGCCTTTTTCAAACGGCCTTGCAAACCCCGAAATTTGCTTTCCTGGCCTTTTCCTACCCGTTTTCCAAGCCTCAAACTGGTTTTGGTGTCTTTTCCAGATCCCCCTTCCAAGCTAGCTTTGCTTTACCGACCGGCCTTGCTCTGACATGCTGCAATCGCGACGCCTCGGAAAGCTTTGAGCTGTTTATCGATCAAGCTGCACCGATCGGCAACATCTTTGAAGTCTTGGCATGGTCTAGAATTGACTGTGAGCCAAGACCTGGTGGCGAGTACTTCTGCTTTCACTGGCTCTTCTCAAGGCATTGCTTCAACCATCAAGCTGGATATTACAGCAACACGAGCAGGCTGAGATTTTTCCGAGGATGAATTGTGGCAACGCAAGTCTGATGACAGACTTCGGCCGCGCGCTGTACTCTTTCGCGGGCCGCTGCACCCACTAGTTCCTGCGATCTCTGCGCTGCCGCTCTTTCCGGAAGGCATGTGATCCGGTGCAGAAAATCCTTTATATGAGAGCAACTGATGGCTGTTCCTGCAGCCAGGTGGTGAAAGCATTACCACAATCTGGGAAGTCTGCTTCGAGTTGGATAGGTCGGCTGCCAAGCACTTCGTGCAGAACGCGGCGCACACGACGTATGCTGCCATCGTCCGCGCCCAAATTGTGTAGGATGCGGCCTTTGATATTTGGAAAACCTAAATATGGAGCTTCTAATCGGATGTCAGCATCCTCGAAAGCTTTCGCGAAGGCCGCGATGCCCTCGTGCAGCACCAGTCGAAACTTCAGCGGCTTCTCTGATGTCTGCTCTAGGTTCCCCTTCAGGTGCTTGCGGATTTGAGGGGCCTCCGGAGGTTGCACTTCAAATTGGTTCCATACAGGACGGTGGTCATCCACTGATTTCCATGGGGACGGTAGTGGCTCCGCTGGTGGCTTGCCGAGCTGCCAAGAAACGTGAAGTTTTGGAGGTACCTGCGTTAGCAGGTTTTGCCGCACCTTCTCTTCCATCACAAGGCGAATCACTTCGAAGACTGCGTGGGGCGTGTTCCCCGCGACGTACATACTCGGGACCCATGGCGCACGGGTTTCTTCTCTTGTATCTGGATAGGGTGCGCCATTCAGAACAATCACTTTGATATGTTTTCGCAGGCCTCGAAGATCTCGGGCTTCGGGATTTGGGTGATGGACCAGTGCCTCCTGCAGCGTAGCCATAAGATGAAAGCCAAAAGAGCCTGTGGCACCCGGTCCGTCGACATGCTCTACCATCACCTGCCACAGCGGATCGGAAGGCTGGGCGAAATTCTTCAGGGTGCTTGCCGTGCCCCAGCGCGTGACGACAGCCACCAACTTCTTGGAAGTAGATTGTCCTCGCTCTGCTTCTTGCAGCCTTTTTGCGAATTCCTCCGCTGGCAATTTCTGCTTGGGCCTCAGTGTGAGAAATAGCAGCAATGTGTCAAAACTTGCATATCAACAGAACCGAGCTGCTACGATACGTTTGCATCATCTGAGACCGCAACATTTTCGCCGCCGCAGCCGGAGACAAGGGGGGGAGGGCAGATCGGATAGACTGAACTCGGCTGCCCTCACTCTCCCTCATCATGGCATCCACGAGTACTTGCCGTCGCGGACCTGCAAACAGTTCGATTGTGTTTGATTGACCTTGGCTGCCATCGGTGTCTGTAGCTGCTCCGGCATCTTCAAGTCCGTTCCCCGAAGCGCACTCATCAAGCAGCTTTTGGTATTTCCTCTTGGTTGTGGAGCGCGTCGGCTTTATGAGCTTATTCTCAAGTGCCCAAGCGACGAGAGGTTCGTAAGGCGGATGTCGTCGCCTGCGGTTGCTCCTTAGAAGCGCGCGGATCTTCCGACGTGCTCTCCACCATACCCGTCGATGAGTTCGCATGGTGGTACTCCAGCTCCACTTGAACTTGAAAATGGCACGCTCCCACTTCGTCAGTTTCTCCTTGCCATAGTCATTCATGTAGAGGACGTCCTTGCCCACCAATTCAATCCAGTGGTTATTCCTGGGAAAGTCGTCGGGGAAGTAGTAGCGGTTACGGGAGTAGCGGCAGTGCCTCACAAACTTCTCTGCGGACATGCTAAGTTTGGGAGTTCTCAAGGCCGGCCGTCCCAGAACGAAGTGCGTCAGGCGCTTTGTCTTCTTATGCAGCCAGCTACTCTTCACATCGAACTTCGCGCGCTCTCCGGCACAGAAGCGCATCCAAAGCAGCTCCGCTGGTTCCAGCACCACCAGCGAACTGTGGGCCAGTGCGAACTTGTATGTCGGAGATCCCGCTTCTCGCCAGTGCTTCAGTTGCCTTACGACGTTCCTTTTGCCGGCAGGTGATTCGAGAGCTCTTCCCAGCGCAGGGATGCTGCAGAAAACGCAGTGCCCGCCGTTAGAGGTCTTCATGACATTTGCTCGGCCACCATGTCCATCTTTTGCAAATATGCAGTCTCTGGCTGGTCCAAATGCAGGATCTTCGAACCCGGCGCACTTGGACGGCATGGAATCTTTGGAAATGGGTCCGCAGCTGCAACTTGGGCCGAATATGCTGCTAGGACAGCGGTGCGAGTGGCAGACATCAGCCGGCATTCGGCAGTGTGGGACGTGTACATCTCAGCATTCGAGCTCGATGATTTGGCCGACGGTGTTTTGCTCGCACTGCTGCTGCTGCTGCTGCTGTTGCCTTCGTGGTGAAACTTTGTGCCTCACATTGTCAAGCCAGAGTGTTCTGGACGTCCTGCCCGGGTGTACGGTTTGTTACGGCTTCGGGCCCTGCAAGCAAGCTGGACTTCGTGATGCAGCTTACTTGCAGCCGAGTTGCGACCAGCGCAATACCTTGGCAGGCACATGCTGGCCTACGAAACGTAGGGAAAGGCTTGTGCGGACTCCAGGTTTTTGCGTCTAGATGCAGTCTGGAGGCGGCTTTCGCCTCATCCGACCGCCTTGACTTCGACCGGGAAATCGATGCAAGCATGGCACAAGCCTGACGCAAGCACGCTCTAGACCTGGACATGCTTGCTTGCAGCCGAGTTGCGACCAGAGCAATAACTTGGCGGGCACGTGTTGAGTCCATATGCATTGCATGATCATGGGCGACGTCGCCCTGGTACCTTGGCTTCGGCAGGCAAATCGATACAAGCATCACGCAAGCATGACGCAAGCACACTCTGGACGTGGACATGCTTATTTGCAGCCGAGTTGCGACCAAAGCCATACCTTGGCGGGCACATGCTGGCCTACGAAACGTCGGGAAAGGCTTGTGCGGACTCGACGTTTTTGCGTCTGGATGCAGTCTGGAAGCGGCTTTCGCCTCGTCCGATGGACCTCTGGCGGGAACTGTTTCGGGCTTTCCTGGGGACTGTTTCGAAATTCCGCGGGGACTGTTTCAGGCCCTCGTGCTGACTATTTGGGGTTCTCGCGGGGACTGTTTCGGGCTCTGGCGGGCCCGTTTCGGGCTCTCGTGGGGACTGTTTCGGGCTCCGCGGGGACTGTTTCGGGCTCTCGCGGGGACTGTTTCGGGCTCTGGCGGGGACTGTTTCGGGCCTTCGTGGAAACTGTTTCGGGTTTTCGTGGGGATTGTTTCGGGCTCTGGTGGGGACTGTTTCGGCCTCTCGTGGCCACGAAAGGTTTCCTTCTAACGCCCCAATAAGCGAAACAATTCTGCAAGAGGTTTATCTTCCTAACGCCCCAATAAGCGAAACAATTCTGCAAGAGATTTTCATCCTTAAAGCCCCAATAAGCGAAGTAATTCTGCCAGAAGTTTTCCTTCCTAACGCCCCAATAAGCGAAACAACTCTGCAAGCAATTCTCATTCCTAACCCTTAAAAACTCCTTGAAAGGCTTGTGCGGACTCGAGATTCTTTCGTCTAGATGCAGTCCGGAGGCGGCTCTCGCCTCATTTGACAGCGCTGGTTGTGCCTTGGCTTCGGCAAGGAAATCGATGCAAGCATCACGCAAGCATGACGCAAGCGCGCTCTAGACGTGGACATGCTTTTTTGCAGCCGAGTTGCGACCAGAGCAATACCTTGGCGGGCACATGTTGAGTTAACGTATATGTTGATCATGGGGAGTGTGAAGATCCTTGAAGGCACCCCCCGGATGGATGATTCATGGTGAATCCGGGATAGCCTTGTTTCAGAATGCCTTGTCAGAGAGTGTCCCTCAGTACACGCTCCTACTTCCGTAGCCCGTGCCGGATAAGAATGGCAGAGAGGCTTCACCTGTGCTGGGTTCGCCGACTTCGGAGGAGTCGACAGCCCGGTAGTAACGCGCACTCGCCATGCGAGTACACGCGTTCCCTTTAACAGGTTGGACGGAAGATCCCGGCCCGTGGCACTGAGGAACGAATCCTCGCGCAAAGCGCGGCCGTGGCACGCACCCCGAAAGTATGGCCGCAGCCTTTCGGAAATGCTCGGGAAAGCATCCTCGGCCTTTTTAGGTATGTGGAGGCCGCTTCGCTAGTCAATTGGCGCGTACAGCAGTCGCTGTAGTTCAACGCCATTACTAGCTTCCACAAGGACAGCAAGGATGCCCCCTTAGGGGGCGAGCGGAGCGTCCAGAAACGCACTGTGTGTACGGGGGGGGCCGGGGGGCCCAGATTGTCACTTTTGTCGGCGTTCACAAATTGGGAAAAGGACAAGACAGACTCGCGTGACAATCTGGAGGGCCGGCCCGTGTGTACATTTAGTCGCGCTTGTCCTTTTCGGAAAAGGACAATTAGCTCTAAATCCAGGATTTTGTGCATTTAGTCGCGCTTGTCCTTTTCGGAAAAGGACAACCAGCTCTAAATTCGAGATTTTCTATTTCTTGCCTCCGGAAATTTGGAAAATTGCTGGTGATTTTCAAGTGACAAATTCTGTTCATAAAATGTGCCTTTTAATTAGAGCCGGCTGCGAATCTCGAGGTCCCCCCCTTTCTTTTCGTGTGGCTGCTCTTAGCCTTCCGGTTTTCTACATTTAGTCGCGCTTGTTTCTTTCGGAAAAGGACAAGCAGCTCTAAATCCAGGATGGTGTAGATTTAGTCGCGCTTGTCCTTTTCGGAAAAAGACAAGCAGCTCTAAATGTACACACGGGCCGGCCACCAGATTGTCATTTTTGTCGGGGTTCACAAATTGGGAAAAGGACAAGACAGACTGGCGTGACAATCTGGAGGGCCGGCCCGTGTGTACATTTAGTCGCGCTTGTCCTTTTCGGAAAAGGACAATTAGCTCTAAATCAAGGATTTTGTGCATTTAGTCGCGCTTGTCCTTTTCGGAAAAGGACAACCAGCTCTAAATTCGAGATTTTCTAGTTCTTGCTTCCGGAAATTTGGAAAATTGCTGGTGGTTTTCAAGTGACAAATTCTGTTCATAAAATGTGCCTTTTAATTAAAGCCGGCTGCGAATCTCGAGGTCCCCCCTTTTCGTGTGGCTGCTCTTAGCCTTCCGGTTTTCTACATTTAGTCGCGCTTGTTTCTTTCGGAAAAGGACAAGCAGCTCTAAATCCAGGAATTTGTAGATTTAGTCGCGCTTGTCCTTTTCGGAAAAGGACAAGCAGACTCTAAATGTACACACGGGCCGGCCACCAGATTGTCATTTTTGTCGGGGTTCACAAATTGGGAAAAGGACAAGACAGACTGGCGTGACAATCTGGAGGGCCGGCCCGTGTGTACATTTAGTCGCGCTTGTCCTTTTCGGAAAAGGACAATTAGCTCTAAATCCAGGATTTTGTGCATTTAGTCGCGCTTGTCCTTTTCGGAAAAGGACAACCAGCTCTAAATTCGAGATTTTCTATTTCTTGCCTCCGGAAATTTGGAAAATTGCTGGTGATTTTCAAGTGACAAATTCTGTTCATAAAATGTGCCTTTTAATTAGAGCCGGCTGCGAATCTCGAGGTCCCCCCCTTTCTTTTCGTGTGGCTGCTCTTAGCCTTCCGGTTTTCTACATTTAGTCGCGCTTGTTTCTTTCGGAAAAGGACAAGCAGCTCTAAATCCAGGATTTTGTAGATTTAGTCGCGCTTGTCCTTTTCGGAAAAGGACAAGCAGCTCTAAATGTACACACGGGCCGGCCCCCAGATTGTCATTTTTGTCGGGGTTCACAAATTGGGAAAAGGACAAGACAGACTGGCGTGACAATCTGGAGGGCCGGCCCGTGTGTACATTTAGTCGCGCTTGTCCTTTTCGGAAAAGGACAATTAGCTCTAAATCCAGGATTTTGTGCATTTAGTCGCGCTTGTCCTTTTCGGAAAAGGACAACCAGCTCTAAATTCGAGATTTTCTATTTCTTGCCTCCGGAAATTTGGAAAATTGCTGGTGATTTTCAAGTGACAAATTCTGTTCATAAAATGTGCCTTTTACTTAGAGCCGGCTGCGAATCTCGAGGTCCCCCCTTTTCTTTTCGTGTGGCTGCTCTTAGCCTTCTGGTTTTCTACATTTAGTCGCGTTTGTCCTTGTCGGAAAAGGACAAGCAGCTCTAAATCCAGGATTTTGTAGATTTAGTCGCGCTTGTCCTTTTCGGAAAAGGACAAGCAGCTCTAAATGTACACACGGGCCTGCCCCCAGATTGTCATTTTTGTCGGGGTTCACAAATTGGGAAAAGGACAAGACAGACTGGCGTGACAATCTGGAGGGCCGGCCCGTGTGTACATTTAGTCGCGCTTGTCCTTTTCGGAAAAGGACAATTAGCTCTAAATCCAGGATTTTGTGCATTTAGTCGCGCTTGTCCTTTTCGGAAAAGGACAACCAGCTCTAAATTCGAGATTTTCTATTTCTTGCCTCCGGAAATTTGGAAAATTGCTGGTGATTTTCAAGTGACAAATTCTGTTCATAAAATGTGCCTTTTACTTAGAGCCGGCTGCGAATCTCGAGGTCCCCCCTTTTCTTTTCGTGTGGGTGCTCTTAACCTTCTGGTTTTCTACATTTAGTCGCGTTTGTCCTTTTCGGAAAAGGACAAGCAGCTCTAAATCCAGGATTTTGTAGATTTAGTCGCGCTTGTCCTTTTCGGAAAAGGACAAGCAGCTCTAAATGTACACACGGGCCGGCCCCCAGATTGTCATTTTTGTCGGGGTTCACAAATTGGGAAAAGGGCAAGACAGACTGGCGTGACAATCTGGAGGGCCGGCCCGTGTGTACATTTAGTCGCGCTTGTCCTTTTCGGAAAAGGACAAGCAGCTCTAAATCCAGGATTTTGTGCATTTAGTCGCGCTTGTCCTTTTCGGAAAAGGACAAGCAGCTCTAAATCCAGGATTTTGTGCATTTAGTCGCGCTTGTCCTTTTCGGAAAAGGACAAGCAGCTCTAAAACCTCCGGCACCGTCCCCCCAAAACGCGACGCCATGACAATCTGAGCCGCCCAGAACGCGACGCCGTGACAATTTGGAGCCCCTCCGGCCCCCGCGTGCGTCACACTCCTCGCGTCCTGGGGGCCGGAGTCGCGCTTGTCCTTTTCGGAAAAGGACAAGCAGCTCTAAATCCAGGATTTTGTGCATTTAGTCGCGCTTGTCCTTTTCGGAAAAGGACAAGCAGCTCT